ATACCTTGTGTTTGGTCGTGGACAATTCTTCTTCCCACCCTTGCGTCTTCGACTTTGACTTCACTTCTCATTTGTACTTGTCTTCGAAGCCTTTTTTCTTTTAACTTGAAAGGGAACTTTAAGCACCTCAGTTTCGGAACTCCTACCGCCTGTGCAGTTTATTTCTTTTCTAACCATGGTTACCACCACCCAAATAGTTCAGCTTCATATCCAACATTTTAAAGTCAGAGATAGAAATACAGTACCTTCCTTTGATATTAGCACCTTGTCATTGTCAGCGTGTTTGCCCACTTCTTTCTCTTCCGTGTCCAAAACAATGCAGATTTTGGCAGTTTAAAGCCACCTTTTCAGCATTTAACACTCCGGCAGAAACTTTATTTGTTTCATTCTCAAATACGCTAATATGTATCGACAAGGAAGTTCCCCAAACTCCATCTCTTTGCAGCTGTATTTAGCCTAACTCGAGGTTGTATCAAACACCAACCTTTTCATCTTTGTCACCATCGTAGCCCTCTCAAGTACTTCGTTTGCTGCCTCGTTCTCGTGGTCGGACTGCTCCCTCTAGAAACAAGTCAAACTCTTCAATTCATCCACTTGAAACTTTTCGAACATAAACAGTGTGTACAATTTGGCCATTTGCTTTTCCATTATCATACGAAGCTGCAATGGAGGGGCATGATTTTCATCATTATGATAACCAACCACCTCTTTCTAATGTTGCTGTCCAAGGGCTCGATTGAATGAATGATGAATTCAATCAAAGAATGCTTCATGTGCACATATTGCTTGAAAATGAAATGACAACTATAGGCAAGTTGACTGCTCCACATCTCGATGAAAAAAACATGCTTACAAAATGTCGAAACCTATTGTGCACGCAAGTCATAAATGTCTTGAAGCCATGTTTTATCGACCAACTCACGTTCTTCTACCAACACCTTCCACCTTGCCTCAAATTCTTCTTTGCTTTTGATATTACATATGTAATCATGCAAATCCTTGAAAGCACCCTAACTTAACCTTTGTCAGTGGACTTGTTACTAATATGCCCTATGTAGTACCGATGAAACATGGTTGGTAGTTTGTTGCCAATAGCCTTTGCTATGGCTCCACCTAGATTGTAATTATAACTTTTGCTGGCTTACCCGACATAGTCTTAAGCATTTCTTCAAACCACTCAAAGCTCTTGGTTTTTTTCATTTGTCAAGTATGCTCAACCGAATACCGTGGTTTGACCGTGGCTGTTAACTCCTAATAAAGGAGCAAACATCATCACGTAAACATTGTGTTGAAAGTGGTGTCAAACACAATCACATCCCCAAAGAAATTCCCAAGTGTTCAATCTCCATCTTGAAATAGAATGAATCATTTTTTTTCTTTCTCATCCTCAAAATGCTCTTTCAACATTTTGGCATCATGCCAGATTAGATGAGCTCGCAATTAATATTCCACCATCTTGACTTGGTGATAGTCTAGAGATGAATCATCGTCTTGAAATATACTCCTTGTGGCATTCCTTCCTAAAATGTCCTTTTGCTTACCACGTAAGTATTTTTTCCTCTTTGGAGTGTATTTGTCGAGGTCCTCCATCATCAAATTAATTTTGAACCTTTCTTGCTCCCTATCCCCTTCTTCCTTCATGGCCAAACGCATTTGGGCCGATTCTTCTTGCCGACGACACTTGTTTTCGTTCATTCTTGCCATTTTGCTAGCAAATTGTGCACGTATCGGATCCTGGGACTTCCCTTTTCTCTTTCTCTTTGCTTCCTTTTGCTTATCTCTACCCGGGGGCCTTGCAGAAGAAGAAGTTAGGGTCATTTGTTAGACACCTTCATTGTCGGCAAAATTCACACCTTCACTGACATCATTTGGGGGTGGGGCTTCACTATGAAATAATCTTTCACATTGTTGGTTCGCATCTGTTCCCCACCTCGGACAATCCTTAAGGATGTTCCAAGCATGATGCAACTTAAAAGCTTGATTTTTTGGTGTAGTTCTTGTCTTGTAAATTGCCATTGCTTTGTCACCCTATGCAACAAATACATAAAAACAATTAGTTGCAAAATACTATTATGTACATGACAACTAAAATATCAACAAAGAAACTCACAATTTATGAGGCGCTCCTTCCACTAGGCATGCCAAACATGGCTCTCTCCAAGCTTCCTTTCCACAGAGTGTACACTTTGTTGATAATCTTCCACTGATCATAAACACCACCAACTTCCCTTCGACCGGCGTTGGAGTTTTCATGGAACTTATCAACGATTTTACCCCACAAAAACTTTCTATTTTGATTTGTGCCAACGACACCATCTTTGCTAACAGAAATTCATGCTAAACATAAAGCAATATCTTCGTGTAAGGTCCAATTACGACCTCTAATATGCTTTGTTGCCATCTTGAAAAATTTGGAAATGGGAGGAAATGTTAGAAAGAAAAATTGGAAGAATTGTAGGAGAAAAGTGAGTTTTGTGTGGATGTTTGAACAAATACATAGGTATTTATAGAGTTTTTGGTTGAATTTTAAGTTAAATAATTATTTTAAATTATTTTAGCCGTTGGATTTAAATTTGGACCGTTAGATCTTTTTTTTTACCGTTAGATTTGATTATATTCGATTATATTCGATCTAAGCCGATAGATTCAATAAATATATAAATATAAAACTAAAAAAAAAAAAAAAAAAAAAATTTGAACCTGGACCATTGGATTAACCAACGGCCCATTTAAACCGGGCCATTGGCTAAAGAAAAGTAGCCGTTGGGCTACTTGATGATCTATCTGACACTCGGGGGAACAACCCCACGTGGGTTTGTTGGATTTCTGAAAAGGCCTAGCGCGTGCAGCACGTAGGCAAGTAGCGGATGGGCAGTGGGCTTCACAGCCCCGGTTTCAATCTCAGTTGGTGAGGCCCATTTTGCTTTGTGGCCTAAAATTGGGCCGGTATTTGACCCCCATATGAGTTTTAGGTTTTAGGTTAATTTTGGGTCATGGGTTGGAGTGGAGTTTTTTTGTGGGGGGAGGGGGGTGCGGGGGGAAGGGAAATTTTAGGTTTTAGCCCATTGTTGAAGATGGTCAAATGACTCGTTCATAAACTCGGGAAGATGGTCTAATGACTTGCTTATAAACTCGGGAAAAGACTCGAAGCTTGGGAAATTAGGAATAAGAGTGATAGTTTTGTGTTTCTGAGTTGGATTTGTTGAGCTAGTAAGGTTGGTATTATATTGAGTTGTTGAAGAAGAGTGAGTGTGGCAGGAGTGTGGAGATTGTGGAGACTAAGGAGAAGGACCATGCATGGGTTCCATTTTAACAAACCAGGTTCTGACAAGGCCGTGGCTTTGCTCAAGAAAATTTCTTCCTTCATCAATCATGATATGTAAATGCCTGAAAATTGATGGTAGTTTAATTAATATGCAAAACCATGCAACTTGAACTTGTTGACTTTTGTGTATATTCATATAATCTTGGGATTCTTAGTTTAGTATGATTTGATAAATTATTTCTTTTCTTATTGATAGGATTGTAACAACTTATAAAACCCTCATTGAGATTTGAATAGACACACAAATTATTCCAAAAGAGCATTCTCTTCTCGGCACCATATCGCAGGTTAGAAAAGAAAAAAAAGATGCACATCCAGTTGTGTAGTGCCATATGACCAGTGAGCAATGTTGTCGTTGCTGACCCGAGTCCACCGTGTTGATCCTGCATTCACCCACCACAACCGCTGCTGCATGATTCGAATGCCCTAGATCGAAAATAGCTTGACCCGCAACCCACGGATATGCACGTTGCCGCAACAACCATCCTTCTGACTTGCCACCACCTCATTGCCTGCACCGCTTTGCCGTCTGAGGTGTTCCCTAGATTTCTACAACCTACATCAAACCCCTCTAACCGTGCCACCACCTCGATGTGAACCCACACCCATCTGGAAGTGCATCCACAAAGACCTGCAGCTGCTCCAGATCATATTGCGTTTTTTTATTTGAATCTGCACATTGATTGAGGACCCTCGAAAAAGGGCAAACATACAAAAAAAATAAAAAATAAAAAAATAAAATTTTGTGGCTGTTTGTTTTAGGCCCACAAGACCAAGGAAACATTTGATGGTTGGGCGTTTCTAAGATTTGTGGACGAAGCATGTGAACCATCCATGCAGATAAGGATCTAACGACTGAAATGGATGAGCTCACTAGTAGAATCAGGTCGCTATGGCCTGGTGCATTTAGAAAATTTTAAATTTTTTTTATTCAGTTAGCATGTTTTGTTTAAGGAAGGGAACCAAGGAGCAAGCGGGAAAAATGGGTTGGCCTTTCCGCACGCTGAAGAGGGAAAGAGAGGCAGAGAGAGGGAGTGGGACTTTGGAACAGATTTGAGGAGGATTGAAGCTGGGTTGCAGCTGCGACCCAATAATTCCCTACTTTAATTTTTTTTTTTTGTTCGGTGGGTGTTTTTTTTGGGCAAGGGAGAGGTAGATTAGGGTTGTCTCCTTCGGGAAAGAGGGGCAGAGAGAGAAGTGTTGAAGGGTGTGTGCTGTGCTCGATTTATAGAGGATTGAAGCTGTGCTTGGATTGTAGTTGACACAGTTCATTCATCCACAACCTCAACAGGAACCCAGATTGTGAAGGTGAATGTTTGAATAATTGCAGAACTTATGTTATAAAGCATTTCCATTCCAGTGTGGCATTTTTTTTTTTTTTTAATTTGGGACTTGAAACCATAATGGTGGGTGGTTATCAGTGGATTTGGTTGAAATCATGAAGGTGGATTTTAGATATATAGGTGTAAAAGTTGTGTTGGCTTGTGATAAGTTGTGTTGTACTTGTGTAACTTTGATGCAAGTAGACATTGAAGTATAATTCGATGAGGGGTGAGGTAGAAGTAGAAGAAATTGTTGTTGAAAGAGAAGATGTAGATGTAGGAGATGAATTAGGTGTAGGGAGGGATGAATTTGTTGTCCAAGAGGAGATGAAAAGTTGAAACCCAAATTAAGAATGGAGTTTGATTCGTTAGATGAAAGGTATAGGTTTGACAACAATTATGCACTTGCAGCGAGGTTTGGGAGTCAGGAGCATAGTAGTAGAAAGTCCATTGATGGTGAATATTGGTTAAGGAAAGAATTTGTTTGTTGCAAACAAGGGAAGAAGAGGGACGAAGGTAATCCCAAACCTAATAAGAAAGGAAAAAGAGGAGATGCTAGAACTCAGTGAAGGTGAGACTTATGCTGAATAAGGGAAGAAGTTTGTTGCAACAGTTTTCAATGAAAGGCACAACCACCCTATGTCAAGTGTGTCAGACTTATTTAGATCACATCGTCGAGTTTCGAAGGCAAAGAAGGCGATGATTGAACAATGTGCAAAGGCCAATATTTCCATAAGTAAACAAGTGGCTTTGTTGGAGGTGCAAAGTGGAGGAATTGGAAATATTGGTTGCATCCCCAAGGATATTTACAACGTGGAACAACAGTTGTGAGCTCATCTAGTTGGGCATGATGCTGAAATGTTGAAAGAGCATTTTGAGGATGAGATTTATTCTATTTCAAGATGGAGATTAACAAAGGTGGAACACTTGGGAATTTCTTTTGGGCAGATGCTAAGTCATAACATGGTTATGGCCTTTTTGGTGATGTGATTGTTTTTAACACCACTTTCAACATTAATGTTTACGGGATGATGTTTGCTCCTTTGTTAGGAGTTAATAACCACAGTCAAACCACAATATTCAGTTGTGTATTCTTGAAAATGAAAAAATGGAGAGCTTTGAGTGGTTATTTGAAGAAATTCTTAAGGTTATGCTAGGTGAGCCGCCGAAAGTCATAATTACGGTTCAAGATGGAGCCATAGAAAAAGCTATTAGCAGTAAACTACCAACCACTTTTCATTAGTACTGCATATGGCATATTAGTAACAAGTTCAATGACAAGGGTTGGGTTAAGGGCACTTTCAAGGATTTGAATGATTGCATTTGGGATATCGAAAGCAAAGAAGAATTTGAGGCAAGGTGGAAGGTGTTGGTACAAGAATATAAGTTGGTTGATAAAATGTGGCTTCAGAACATTTATGATTTGCATGCACAATGGGTTCTGATATTTTGTAAGCACGTTTTTTCTGCCGAAATGTCTAGCAGTCAGTGTGCCATAATGACTGGCAACAGGCTATGTGAGTTGGTTGTCATTCATTTTTCAAGCAATATGTGCACAAGAAGCACTTTTTAATTGAATTCATCAATCGGTTCAATTAAGCCCTTGGAGGCAACGTCAGGAAGAGGTAGTTGGTAACCATAATGATGAAAACTTTGCCCCTCCATTGCAGCTTCGCACGCTAATGAAAGATCCAATGGCTATATTGTACACACAGTTTATGTTCAAAAAGTTTCAAGGGGAGGAATTGAAGAGTTTAGCTTGTTTGTTAAGGCAGTAGTCCGGGGATGGGAATGAGGCAGCGTACGAAATACTTGGGATGGCTTTGAGGGTGATAATGATGAAGAATTTTATGGTTGATATGATATCGGTTACACTAAATACAACTGCAAGAAGATGAAATTTTGGGGACTTTCTTGTCGACACATATAGGCGTATTGGAGAATAAATAGAGTTGCTGCCAGAACATTACATCCTGAAAAAAATGGCTTCAAACCGCTCAATGCGGCATTGTTTTGGATACGGAAGAGAAACAAGTGGGTAAACACGTCGATAATTCTACTGTGTCCAAAATAGATCAGTTTTAAAAAAGAAGCTTCAGACTTGATTAACAAGGTGATGATGTCGGAGGAAAGTACTGCATTTCTGTCCCAAACTTTGAAACCGTTACATACGAAGTTGAACTGTTTGGGTGGTGGTAACCATGGTCGAAAAAAAAAAAAAAACGACTGATAGGGGGTATGAGTTCCTAAACTGAGGTGCTTAAAGATCCCGTCCAATTTAAAAGAAAATGGGAATTGAAAACAAGTACAAAAGAGAAGCGAAGTCAAAATCAGAGACGTTGGGGTGGGCAGAAGAATTGTCCACGGCAGTCATAAGTTACGCAACGTAATGAATGAAATATCACTTATGGTTTGGTTGATAATATATTTGTGGTTGTAATATTTGAAAGAACTTTGGATTGATTTGTAATTGTGCATTTCCTGCTAGAGCGAGCCCGAGGAACGTACACAAACGACATCGAGCCCCATTCCTGGCGACGTTGCTAGGTGAAATGAAGCAGCTTATCCTGAGCCTAATTAAATGCTAACCTAAAGCAGAAACAATAAACTTACAATTAGTAATTCGGAGTGCTAGTTATTTTTTACAAATACATAATGAATGATCATTAAAGAGGGTGTGAAAATTAAATTGTGGCTATTCATTTTGTATGCAAGATGTGTTAATTTTGAAGGGGGATGAACTATTATTTACCTATGGCCACAATTGGTTTTTCAAAGTTTGTGTAGGTCACAGTAGTGATGGAATGTGTGATCCACTACGGGTGTCATGTTATGAGATCGTATGAATATTTGTGAATATGTAGGAACATCTATGAAACTTATACGTGCAATACTTACTTAAGATTGAAATTACAATATAGTTACAAAAGTCCCTAGAAAATGTACATAATTAGGATGGAAGCAAATGCATAGGAAGGGAAATATAAGGGTAAGCATCCGTGGGTGTGTTGTGAGCCGCCTCACGTACTTGTGTTCGGTGTACTCACCATTATCTTTGACAATGTCTTCCACTTGTGAGGCATAATGCAATCCTAATCATATCCAGACCAAACTCGATGGAGATAGCAACAAAATTTCTCATACCCATCATAGAAAACGGAGTCACACTCTTCTTGGAGTTGTTTCATCTGCCATGAATAGATTGACCTACAACATGCATCTTCCTTCTTTTTTTCAACTATATCTTTATACTTACGCTTTCGGCTATGTATTAGGCATTTGTACTTTACTGATTTGCACAACATCTCGTTCAGTTGTTATTGTAATTAACCCAATGTGGACTCATTTTCAAGGCACTTTTGATGTTACACTCATTGATAGAGTGTGAGTTGGCAGAAAATTTGGCCTTTGATTTTGCAATTTGATTGGTTGGATCATCGGAATCACCATCATTCCCCAAGAGAGCCATGACATGTGTGCCTAAATAATGGTTGCTAAAGTGTTATTCTGTGCATTTTATAGATGATCATTTTAGATGTCATTAAATGGAACAACAAGCCATAAATTGATGGAAACAGATTGTCTATTTACAACTAGTTTGTCAACAATACTCTTCCAATTGCTACATTAGGAATGTATTGTGTAACTACATTAGGAATGTATTGTGGATAAACCAAGTGTTGTCCAATGACTTTTCCTTGGTTCCCATTTGTTGATGATCAATTCAGATGTCATTAAATGTGAGACCAACAAAAATTGGATGGAATTAACTGATTCATGACTGCCTATTGTAGGTATATATGATGGCTTGTGAACAATGGTGTTCATGCTATCAGGAACTGAGTTTACAACTTCTTGTTCTTAAAAAATCCTTCCAAATCCTAAACCTTTTACTGTAATGACATTAAGAATGTGTTGTGGTGGCAACAAAATGTTGAGTTTGTATACTGTCACATTTAATAGAGAAAAAAAATTGATGCTTTTGTATATGTGTGTGTTTATGAGCATTTATGAAGACCACTATATGCATTCAAGCGGTCTTGTCACTTTGGTCCTTCAAGTAGCAAAAAATAAATTTTCAAGCAAAAAGTCAGACAAAAAGTTAGTACTACACATAAACATGTGACCACTGCCACATCCTATGTTGAAGAAAGTGTACAAAAATTTGTGTTCCAAACAACAAGTAGTCATCTCACTCCCACATCCAATTTTGAAGACATTTTGCGAACATTTGTGTTCTAAAAAACATGTACTCATCCCACTCCCATGTCCAATTTGGAAGACATTCTACAAACATTTGTGTTCCAAAAAACATGTACTCATCCCACTCCCACATCTAATTATGAAGACATTGTACAAACATTTCTGTACCAAAAAACATGTACTCATCCTAGTCCCACGAACTTAAATAAGTGAAGAATTACCATAACCAAAGACCTCATGTACAGCTGCTTGAAGAATTTCTTGATCATTAGGCAGCACAAGTTAGGCATAAAACTTCATAGAATTAACCCCTTTGTGTGCAACATGTTTCTTCCTCATTTCAACTTCCTCTCTAATGTAGGTGCACCCATTCGAATCATCTACTGGATAATTTTCATTCAAGTGTTTCATGTGGTGGATACTGGATAGCAACCTCGTTGCCTCCATCTTTAAATCTCGGTTCCACTTTTCAACAGTACTTAACTCCCCACGAATACACTTAATTTCCCTTTCCAACTCAAGGGGTATACTCTTCCAAACCAAAATAAACGATGTTGAGAGGTGTGGTATTAATTGGAGGAGGAGTTATGGATGTTGATGTATTAAGAGGATTTGGGATGGAAATTTGGGTGATGTTAATGTATTGATTTGGAATGGAGGCGAATTGGGTGGTGTTGCCATGATGTAGTGCAATTAATGAAACTGCAGAGTTGTGAGGACTTAAGAGAGAGGCTTGGGGTTGGTTGAAATAAGTGGAATGCAATTAGAGGGGGAGTTTGGTTTAAGATATGATTAAAATCCCATTTTTCAAAAGTGTGCAAAGATCAAGGGATTAGGAGGGAAAAGGGTCCATCTCAGTTTTGATTTGCCACCAGGAGTTTCTACCTAAAATGATGTAGGAGGCAGCCTCATAGGGATGTTGTGTTGCATGTGCAATGACAATATGAACGGTTTTGAACATTATGTGAACCATCCAAACCATTCATCTCTCACAATCCACCAAAATATGAAAACTTGACAAAAATAAAGTCCATAAACCTTAACGACGATGACCATAACGGCATCAACCTAAACTTAAATCCGACAGTTAGTTTTCGTGACTTTGATTTTTGCAAGATGGTTAAGGTTTTTGAGTTCAATCCTTTATACACAATGATTGGCCCTTGTTAATATGAGCATTTCCAACATTTTTGCACAATTTTCCCTTTCAAATTTATTTTGTATTTTTTTTCGAAAAAAAATGGTTATCTTAGTGACGCAGTCACGTCCATAATTTTAGGTGGCAATGTGGTGGAGGGATATGCAATACCGTCCTTGATGAAGAGCAAGGAATATCATAGCCTCCCACGTGTTCAATTAGGTGGTTGGAAAGAGGAGGTGGGGGACTTTGACTTCAAGGTTTCATTTTCCCAAGGGGGACCCAATTATAGGCTCTCACATCGACAGGTTTGGTTTTCTTTTCCGGATTCCAAAACTAAGCTTTAGTGTCATAACGTTTCATAACCCATCATTCAAAGAGTACTAAACCAATGGCTTCATCATAAACATACACGTTAGGAAACCCAATGGTGGGAATAAATACCACCTACAATACATGCATGCATAACTACAATATGTGCACACATAAT